CCTAAGGTCATGTCATATGACCGGTTGTCATGTATGTCATATGATATGTGACGTATATTATGACAAAATGACAAAATGACTATCTGTCATATGATCAAATGACAAGAGGTCATATTTTAAGCCAAATGACAAGATCATATGTCAATACTGATGTGACTAAGCCTTTTGTATTATAGCAACTTTGTAAAATGAGAAAATTATATTTAAGAAAAATTCAACGAAAAAAAAATAAAAATAATCATTGTTAATCAATAATTGTTTTTAGTATTACATCATAAACTATCAATGAAACAACCAAAATAATATCTAGTGTAATCCAATATTCAATTCAGCTACGTATAATACTATGTTTGTCAATTAATCTCATGTTTCATGCAATCTAATTTAAATTATTTAAATTTTTATGTAAATTAATAACAAAGTTGAGTTGATGTAGTGGGAATTGCGCATGTCATGTGTAAAAAATGCAGCATGGCTTTGAGTTTGAGACTTGCTATACTAATTTCAAGAAAATTTTTTTTTTTTTTTATTATTTTATTAAATATAAATTTTAGTAAAATTTAATGATAGAAAAAGGGAAAATAATGTTAAATCTGAACAAATTTTGCCATATTTGACATAAAATATGACAAATAATCACATATTGTTGTACTTGGACATTGATAAATTAGTACTTTAAATTGAAGATTGAATATATACAAAGTATTTTTACATGAATAAAAATCCAAAATTTTTGTTTCTCAATAAAGCAAAAAAAATGGTCATAAAATTAATTTTATTTCTTGTATAAAAAGTAATGGTGAATGTTACAGTTTTATTTATTATAACTATGAAGGAATATGTATACCTTAATCTACACATTTCCGTCCTAACTTTGTCACTATATATGAAGCTACAATGGAAGGTGAAATCCTCAAGATTCGTGGTTATTACATAACGTATACTCACTTAGTAGAAAGCACCTATACTAAACTATTTTTTATCCTTTTTACAAAAAAAATTCTCATCATGAACCGCGTTCACCTTGAATCTTGAATAAACTGTCATGGCTTTTATCTTATATTAGTGAGAGACTATCTTCTAAAAACTTTACTCTTTCCTAGCTGATATCTGGATTTCAAATTTTAATCTGCTGGTAAGCTTTTTATTTTTTTCTTTAATGTAATATTCTATCATTATTGATAATAGTTTCTTTTCATCATTTTGTGAAATATAGATGAATATCCCTCTATTACAAAAAATATTTCCTCCTTGATATTTACTCTTGAGTATTATTTCATCTATTATCTTCTATGTGACTATTTTACTTAAATTCTAAAACTAATTATTTTTCTACTTCTTTTTCTAGAATTTATTTTTAAATCGATGAAAATACCTGAAAATGATTTTTTATTTCGTGTTTTTATTTCAAACCTTACATTCTTCTTTTCCTCCTGATAAATAACTACTCATATTGACAAGACTAAAAAAAATTCAAAAAAATATGGTGAATCTTATTAATATTAATATTCTTAATTTTATTAGTCAACAACAAAGAAGTGGAAATAGCAAATATGGGTATACAATCATTTTGATTTTTGTAACATTTTTTTTTTAATTTTCTTCTCAATAGGGATGGGGGGGACTGACTTTAATTGTATCTACAATCTAAAAGGACTGGTACAACTGCTTGTAAATGTAAGAGTTTGCAATTCTGAAATAAGAATTGCTATGTATCTTCTTTTATGTTTTAAAAACTGTTTCACATGTGGGTGCTTACGCAATTTGAGTCCTGTTGGATATTCCCATCTTTTCTTATAATGCAGTAATAGTCGATCGAGCTGAGCCATATTAGATACCCCTATCCTTGGAACGAAATTGATACTTGTAAGTTACTTGTTTTGTTTATTATATTTCTTTCTGATATTTTAGCCTTGTCATATGAGTTGTTATAATTGTACTCGTATAATTTAAATAAAAATTGTGTTAATAAAAACATAAATAAAGTTTATCATAAATTTTAAAAGATTTTGTAATGTAATTATATAAACAAAATTTCTATGAAATATTTTATTTATTGCTTTTAATATAATTTTCAAATTTTTTATCTAAATTATTGTGAAGAGGTCACATAATAAAGAATTACTGATATAAATTTTATTGATTTGCGTTTATAAATATTGAAAGTTAATGATATTTTTACAAAGAAACTTTCACCAAAAATACATAGAAAATCATTCAATTATTTTTGCTCTTTTTTATTTTTTATATTGAAGAAATGAATTTGAATGACATTATTTTTTGTACATACACCCACAACATAGTTAAGACAAAATCGTTTCGCTGGTTATATTTTAAAGTTAGTTATTTCCTTTTTTGGAAAGCAAATTATAGTATTATAGTCTTAGATTATTAATAAAAAAATGAACTTTATTTAAATCTGCCTCCTGCAAATTTCTTTAATATCACATAGGGGATGCGATAACTTAAAATTATTTTCCCGTGATGTAATATGCAATAATATATCATTTTATTATACTTCTTACATAAAAAAAAAAAAATACTAATTATTTGTCTTCCAACTGAGACTGTGATTCATATGAAGAACTATATATACGATTATTTCTTCGAAAAAATTCTGTCCCCATAATACTTAGTAAAATTGAAACACGGAGGGAAATCATCATGCGATTTCTGCAATTCCATACAAATTGGCATATTCTTTTTTTGTCATAAGGTATGCGGTATTATTTACCATTTTATCATTCATGAAAATTTCTTACTCCGATTTATAATCATGACAATTTCTTTAATAAAGACGATTTACTTCAAAATTCTGAGTGCTTTTCTAACTTTTATATTCGTCACACATACTTAAATTCGTTTCATCAGGGAATAACTTAATATCGAATACAACAGAGCCTCGCAGTGCTAATATACCTACTAAAATTCAAATTCTCAGCATTTTTTAAGTAATGAAGTTCATAAAATTCAATTTTTGGTTTAGCGTTATTTTTATTGCATATACATAGAAATAAGCATGTGGCCACAATCAGTTTTTTGCGAATAAAAGGTTATTTTATATTATTTGAAAAAAAAATAGTGACAATAAAAAATCTCCTGAAATTATGATTATGGAAAAAACAAAAACATGAGAAAAATATCTTATTCACAGAAGAATGCGAGAAAAAAACAACTTTTTTTGAAAAAAAAAATATCGCTATGCCTGTTAAACTTACATTTATTTCAATTGTTCACTCGGTTATAAAAAGAGATAGTACAAGTTATGCTAATACAATAATGGATATAAAGTTACAGCATTTATTTCAAAGATAAATCAGTACCTAGATGGGTACCTTTATTTGAACCCGAAAATGTTTTAAGATTTACAGGAAAATTCAATCTTGATTATCATACTACATTAGAAGTAAAAAAAAAATACTTTTTCATTATTTACAGTAAATTATTTTTTTTCCTTTTTTTTTTAAAAAAAAAATGTATATAAAATAAAAAAAACTCTTAAGTAATGGTGATCTACTTAATGTTAATCAAGACAATCTCCCCCCAGTTCAATTTCTGTCTTTGTTATAGGATTTATTGCAAAAATCGAAAATACTTCAAATTCATTAAACTTAATGTTATTGAATACGCTGGAAGTGGCCTTTCAGGAAAAAAATTCTTCCTTAATGCAGATATTTAAAACAGATGCCAGAATTGATAAGATCATAAAAGATAAGAAGAACTCATGCATGATGATTACGGGAGAAATGATTTGTGATATACAAGACATAAATTTCATATCTACATTAGCATCCAATATTGAAACTTCAACAAATATTTCTTCAGGAAGAATAACTGCACAATCGATGGCTAATTCATCTCAAGAAAATGCCAATCAAAATCAAAAATATCTTAATAATACTGACGACGATGATGAAAATCCAGATGATGTGGAAGAAAATTCGAATAATATTATGCAAAATAATTGTGGTAAAAGAAAAAGAAAATCACGAAAATAATTTTAATATTTTTAAATATCGTGATTGTAAGTAATAAATAATATTTGATTTATTGTTATTGCGAAAAAATAATTTTGTGATTTTTAATAATATGATTTTTATTAGTAACTAAAGAAGCTAATTTTAAGTTTGTCATTTTTTCCTCCCGTAACTATACTGTACAATGAAAATTTCTCACGAGAAATAAATAATAAAATAAAAAAAAAATAAAAAAATAAAAATAAATAAAATTGTAAATAAAAATAAATAAATGTCACATAAACATAAAAATATCGAATAAACTTGAGTAATTTTTAATTAGCGTCACTAGGAAAATTTGAGATCCGCACTTTATAATAAAAAAAATTTCACATGCAAGCAACTTATTATTTTATTCAACGATAATAATATTAAAAAAAAATTCTGGTATATTCTTATTTTGCATAGTGCCCAATTAATTATCATAGAATTATATCATCAATTTTGGATAATTTTATAGTTGCGGGGCAAACCCTAAAACCGATTTTGGCAAAAGTCAAAAATTTTCAGAAATTATTTCGACAGTTTCGATGGGTATTCGATGGTTTCGATAGTTTCGATGGGTTTCGATGGGCTTCAACGGGTTTCGATGGGTCTCGAAAGTTTCGACAGTTTCGATAACAACTTTGCGAATTTGAAGGTTTAACAGGTTTATTGTAGAATATAATAAACGATTTTTTGCTTTTTATTTTAAATTAGAACAAAGTTTCCAAAATAATATATTATCGAGCAGGTTTTAAATTTGGAAACACTGATACTTGTTGAAGAATTAGAAAAAATTACTTATGAAGATTATGACGATAAAGGTTGACCGGATTTATTTAATTTTAAAAACCGGATCCGGATTTAAATCCGAATATCGAATCCGGTTCCATCCTCTAGATGATGATTTTTCAAATGAAAGTTTAATGGATGAATAAGAAGATAAGATTACTGTCATGAGTATAAATGAAGAAAATATGGTAGATAAATGATGTAATTGGACTAATTATTAATATGTAATTTTTTTTTTTTTATACTTTATAAGTATATAAACGATTTGCTCATCGTTAAACAAAAATAATTAATTTTTAAATTCAAAATTGTATTTTAATATCAGAAGGTTTCGCCATCCGTCGAAATTTCGCAATTATGTCTTTAATAAAAATATTTGGCAAAACGTTTCGACGGGTTTCGATTTCAATGCCTGTCAAAAACCTCCGGGTTGTGCCCGGCAACCTTAGATAATTTGTCATTAAAATGATAGTCTAGGTCATGTTTGAGAAAACCTGGAACAAGATTTAATATAAAAACATGGTTCCTTCAATAAAGCATTGTGGTGCAGTTGTGATGATGTGGGGTTATTTTTCACGAAAAGGATTGGGATCACTAGAAAAGTCGATGAAAAAATGAACCATCATGATTATATTTAAATACTTGAGTCACAATTACTCCCATTAATTAATAATCCGATCTAGAGGTTGAACCAGTCTTAACCGGTTAAACATTAACCTGTCCAATCTCTAATCCGATCAATATGTGCCTTGCGCCTTCATTTCTATCTATTGGTAAGAATGTTATTGATGAATAAGATTGTCCTGATGTTTCGACAGACATCGAAATCGAAATTATTTTTATTAAAAGAAAAACCGCAAAAGTTTGACTAATGGCAAAATCTATTAAAACCTTTAGTATTAAATATACTTATAAAGAATTCCCTTTTGGGTAAATCCTAATTAGAATTTTAATTTGAAGAAGAATTTTTCAGCATCTTAATAAGCATAGCAATTGCCTTGGAGGCCGGATATACCTAAATATCCGCTGTGAATGATTTTCCCGTAAGTAATTTTATTATTTATAACTCTTGATGATGGACACGTTGGATATTTTCTGCTATCAAACAATTACAATATTTCCATTAAAAGCCCCGAGACATGTAATCGTTATATTCATTAACATACCGTAATATTTTTTGAAGAATAGAAGGTAAAAAAAAAATTTACTTGCAGAATCTTTTTTTTTTGTACAAATCATTAATAAAGTCGTTCCACATATTTATTATTTTTTTTTTTGGATATTTATGGCGGTGTAACATTGCGGTTTATATTTTGAATTTTGGGAATGAAATTTCTATTTTCCTAAAAAAAGGGAAAAGAAATTAATGGTTGGATTTTATAAACTGACGTGCTATATACTATAAAGTATAAATTTAAAAATATATATTTAGATTATATACTGGAACACACTTTTTTCAGAAATGTCAATTTGGTTATATTGCTGAAGCTCGAGTCAAACAAGACTGCAGCACTAATAAATCTCTATTTGAATGTAACTAACGCGAGCGGGTTAGGCAGGCAGGTCATTATTTGTTATATGATAATTTCTGCGTTGCGTTTAGGCAGACCTTTGTTTTTTTTACAATCGCAATAAAAAAAAAATTTGACTCGCATATTTAAAAAGTTTAAAAATCACCTGTTGATACGATGTTGCACCATTGTTCTCTTTGCTAGAAGTTAATAATAGAAAGAACTTGGAGTTTCAGTACGTAATTTTATACTTTAAATTTTTGTCATAAGATTGTTTCGAAATATTTATTTCTCAATTTTTATATATTTTAAAAAATTCTCACTGGAAATTCGTCGAAGGTATGACGTGATGACTTTTTCAATACTGTTATTCTAAAAATTGATTTACGAAACTCTGTTATGTAAGATAATTTTAAAGCAAATTTATGATTAATTACATGAAAATTTACAATTAGAAGATTGTCATTATTACCACACACGGCTTGGACCCATTCAATGAAACAAATACTAAGGAATTAAAAAACTCACTTTTCTTTAAAAATATTCTAAAAGTTTGTTTTTTGTCTTCCTTATCTTCCTACACAAATTTTTTATTCTTCTTTCACAAACGTAATAATAAACAAATAAAAAATAAAATCATTTTTTTTGTGGCGTTACCATATATTTGGGTTGTTATAAGAGCTAAGCTGCTAAGCTTATTTTTTTTATAAAAAAAAAACTGAAAAATAGGTGAAGAATTTTAATTTTTTAAGATAAAGGCGAGGTAAATATATATTTTATTCTAGACCCACATGAAAAGTACTTTATAAGGTCAAAATCATGATGTTGTTGATCACTAAATTAATCTTTTAATTTTCATATTAAATTAATTAGTAAAATTGCATATAAACTTTTTTTTGCCTTAGTACTGACGAAAATCGCGCTTGCACTCAATAATACATCATTATTTTTTTTAACCTTTTTAGGATCGAAAAGAGAAAAAATCCGTTCTTAAGAAAAATAAACAAAAGTTGAAAAGAAAAAAGAATATTAATAGAAAGAAAAGAAAGTGCTTGTTCCTTGACAGAAAATAATGATTCCTATACACTAATATAAGAAAGAAAGAAAATAGGTGATCATAAATGATTTTGTAACGATAAATCATGAATTCTGGGATTCTTTATTCATTCCCAAAACGCCAAATTCATATAAAGAATTAAATAAATTTTTTTTGTTACAACTTTTGATAGAACCACAAGTCTATACATCGACTTCAGATTGCAACATCATTATTCTATTTATAAAAAAATTGAATTCGATAAAATAGTATCACGTGATTAATTATCAATAAATGTTCATCAACGATCCATTACAAGAATGGGTAGATCCTTTTTTAAATAGCATATTTATGGAAATTCATTAAGCCATATTACAATATGGAAAAAAAATTTAAGCCGAGGGCTGAACTGTCCTTGCATAAAAGAGAATATTATCCCTAGAACAATTGTAAAAACTCTTATTTACATAATGGTTTTAAGAAGAAATTTAGAAAAAGCATTAACAGACTTGGAAATTAGAATTAAGGAATTAGAACAAAGTAACGAAGGGTTACGTTTACAATTTAAAAATTTGGAGGAAAAGTTTAAAAAGCGAGAAGAAACTATTAATAAATTAGAAGAAAAGATTAAAGAGCGAGAAGAAGCAGCCAATATCGAACAAGAAACTATTAATAATTTAGAAAACCATGAATTAGAAAAAAGGATCAGAACCCTTGAATCATTTATTTATGATGATACTGTTGTTAGTTTAACCATTACAGATACAAATAAAGATGACATATTAAATGCCTTAAGCGGATTGCAAAGATATCGAAAATTAGCAAAACTCACTTGTAAAATTACCAGCTTACCAACTTTACCTAATTCTTTAACGGAACTTAATTGCTCTGGTGGTGGTTTTTTCTCTTATAATAAAATAAATAAAATAACAAACCTACCAAATTTACCCAACTCTTTAACGGTACTTAATTGTTCTTTTACTTCAATAACTATCCTACCAACTTTACCCAACTGCTTAACGGAACTACTTTGCTATAATACTCGAATAACTATCCTACCAACTTTACCCAACTCCTTAACTTATATTGATTGCTCTAATACTCAAATAACTATCCTACCAACATTACCCAACTCCTTAACGGAACTATTTTGCTATAATACTCAAATAACTATCCTACCAACTTTACCCAACTCATTAACTAAACTTTATTGCTCTAATACTCGAATAACTATCCTACCAACATTACCCAACTCCTTAATGGTACTTGATTGCTCTGATACTCCAATAACTATCCTACCTACTTTACCCAATTCCTTAAAAATCCTCCGGTGTAATAACACTAAAATAAATAGCTTACCAAATTTACCCGATTCCTTAACGGATATAAGCCCTCAATCTTTAAAAACTCAATATATCAATAATCTTTAGCCTTCTACATAACCTTTCTTTTATGTTCATATTTTTCTTTGTGGAGATAAACTTTATTTTATCCTTTTAATAAGCGAATATTTGGAAATTTTTGCCACGATTACATTAATTATTTTTACAATAGATAATTTGTAATATCTTTAAGATAATAAGTTTTTATTAAGGAAATTAAATCAAATCAAAGTAATGAAAGCTTAACATTTAATATATAGTTTAATTTATGAATTACGC